ACTAAGATTTTACTAGCATGTGACATATTAAAGATATTGTTCGATAATTTCCACATTCTGTGGGATCACCTTTCTTTGGAATGGGTACAAATATAGATCTCTTCCAGTTGGCCAGGTAGCTGTTTTCCAAATTTCTTTGCGTAGATGAGTAAGTGACTCCAGCAGGGCATTCGTTTGTTGAAACATCTTAATGGGTATTGCATCAATTCCTGGAGCCTTTTTTCACCAATTCCTTCAGTGCAGCTTTGACTTTTTCCTTCAATACCATCAGTTCTTGATCATATGCCACCTCCTGAAATGGATGAACATTGACCAATTCTTTTCAGTACTGTGACACTGTGTATTCCTTCCATCTTCCTTTGATGTTTCCTGCATCATTCCATATTTTGCCCATAGAATCATTCAATATTGCAACTTGAGGCTTGAATTTTTTCCTCAGTTCTTTCAGCTTCAGAAATACTGACCATGTTCTTTCCTTTTGGTTTTCTAACTCCAGGTCTTTGCACATATTATAGTAATGGACTTTGTCTTCTCAAGCTGTTCTTTTGAAATCTTATATTCAACTCTTTTATCTTGTCGTTTCATCCATTTGCATTAGCTACTCTCCATTCAAGGGCAAGTTTCAGAATCTCTCCTGACATCCATTTTGGTCTTTTCTTCCTTTCCTGTCTTTTTAATTACCTTTTGCTTTCTTCATGGATGATGTTCTTGATGTCATCCCACAATTACTGTGGTTTTGGGTCACTGGTGTTCAATGCATCAAAGTTATTCTTTAGATGGTCTCTAAATTAAGGTGAGATATAATCAAGGTCAGGAGCTCTGGTAGCGTAGTGCCTAAAGCACTTGACTGCTAACCAGAAAGAAGGCTGGTGGTTCAAACCCACCAGCCACTCCTTGGAAGGAAAACGGGGCAATCTACTTCCGTAGTGATACTGCCTAGGAAACCCAAGGAGGGGCGCTATGAGTCAGGTCTGACTCGACAGCACATAACAACAACATAATCAAGGTCATATTTTGCTTCTCAGGGATTTGTTTTAATTGTCTTCAGCTTCAACTTGAACTTGCATTTTAAACCACGCAGTATTCCCATGAGTAGTTGATGGTCTGTTCCACGGTCAGCTCCTGGCCTTTTTTTTGGCTGTAAATATTGAGTGTCTCCATCACTTCTTTCCACAGATGTAATCAGTCAGATTCCTGTGAAGTCCACAGGTATAGCCACCATTTATGCTGTTTAAAAAATGTATTTGCAATGAATAAATTGTTAGTCTTGCAAAATTCTATCCTATATTCTCCGGCGTCATTTCTATCACCAAGACCATATTTTCCAAGTACTAGTGATTTTTCTTTGTTTCCAACTTTTGCATTCCAATCACCAGTAATAATCAATACATCTTGATTGCATGTTTGGTCAGTTTCAGACTGCAGAATTTGGTCAAAATCTTCAATTTCCTTATCTTTGGCTTTGGTGGTTGGTACATAAATTTGGATAGTAGTAGTATTAACTGGTGTTCCTTGTAGGGATATGGATATTATCCTATCATTGACAACACTGTATTTCAGGATCAATCTTGAAACATTCTTTGGGATGATAAATGCCACACCATTTCTCTTCAATTTGTCATTTCTCGCATAGTAGACCATATAGTAGTGTGATTCAAAATAGCCAAAACCAGTCCATTTTAGCTCACTAATGCCTAGGATATCAATCTTTATGCATTCCATTTCATTTTTGATAATTTCCAATTTTCCTAGGTTCTTATTTCATACATTCCATGTTCTGATTATTAATTAATTAATGTATATCTGCAGCTACTTCTTCCCATTTTAAGTTGTGCCACATCAGCAAATGGAGGTCCCAAAAACTTTACTCCATCCACGTCATTAAGGTAGACTCTACTCTGAGGAGGCAGCTCTTTCCCAGTCATATTTTGAAGGCCTTCTGACCTGAGGGGCTCATCTTCTGGCACTATATCAGAAAATGTTTCAGGGCTATTCATAAAGTTTTGCAGTAATATATCAGACAGGTTTTCACTGCTATTCATAAGGTTTCCACCAGCCAATTATCTGAGAAGTGGATGGCTCCTTCCTTCTTCCAAGTCCTTTTTAATCTGGAAGCTCTGCTGAAACCTGTCCACCATGAGTGACCCTGTTTGTATCTGAAATATTAGTGGTATAGCCTCCAGCCTCACAGCAACACACAAGCCACCACAGTATGACAAACTGACAGACAAGTGGTCATAGTTGTCTTAAATTAAGGCAAAATTTATTTTGCTATTATGCCTTTTCCACTGCTTAATTTCTTTTCTAATCATGTAGAAAAAGAAGCAAAGGGCATAGATAGCCAGTTCTCAAATAGACAATGAATATATGAAGGGACTTTTAATCTCACCACTGATCTAAGGAATACAAATAAATAATAATGAGAAATTAGTTTTGGTGTTATTCATAAAAAACATTAATTGTAGTAATTACCTCATGGCATAGTTGGGCTACTTTTAATTTCTTCTTTGGATTTCAGTATTGTTGTCATTGTACGCCATTTAGTCAGTTCTAATAGTGACCCTATAGCCCCAAAGGGTTTCGAAGACAGACTGTCACATCTCTCTGGAGTGGCTGGTGTGTTTGAACTGCCGACCTTTTGGTTAACAGTTGAGTGCTGCTTCAACTGCACCATCAGCCTCCCAGGATTTCAATGCTCTGCCTGATTTTTTTCAATAAGCCTATATCAAATTCACAAAATACAAAGTTATTTAAAAACAAAGTAAAATGTCTCATTAGTTGTTTGCAGAAAAATTCTAGCAAGTAGAGAATTCAGAAGCAGACCAAGGCAATTTAGTCCATGTGCTAAAGATGGCATTTCAAACAAGTGGAGGACAGAGACAGCCTTCTCATAAGCATACAAATGCCTTAGGCACTACTCCACCGGAGTTCCTATTAAACAAATAGTACAAAACAAAAAAACCTGGCTAATAAAAAGGAATTTTTTTTCAGAAAGGATTCTTAGCAGCAATATGATCGCATAGCAGCAGTTCTTTGAGGGTAGTACACAACTGGCTAGGCCCATAGTCATGGTGGAGGCCAACCTCTGGGCTGCTTCATATGTTGTGTGCCCTGTGGACATGTCTTTTGCTCAGCATGCCTGCAGGAATGTCTGAAGCCAAAGAAACCTGTCTGTGGGGTATGTCACAGCACTCTGGCCCCTGGTGCCCAAGCCATGGAGCTCGAAAGCAGACTGAGAAGAACACAGAGACATCTTGCCATGGCTGCTGTAAAAATTTCTTCCTATCCAAGATCCAGGCCCATGTGGCTACTTGTTCCACATACCAGAATTACATCATAGAGAGAGTGAAGGTCACTGTGGTGGTTATGTTTTTGTGTCAACTTGGCTGGGCCTGGTTGAGTGGCTGGGCAGCTGGTGGTAGTTATTCCCCATGATGAGACTGGCAATCAACTCCATGGTGGGATCTACCACAAGCAGCTGAGTAGCTGCCCTTGGGATGTGGTCTGCTTCCTGTATTTAAGGAGAAGACTTGTGAATGGTCTCTAGCCTATGGCATGCTTAGACCCTGCATGTAGCCGTGTCGTTGCTCAGCAGCCTGCTATGCTCTGCTGACCTTGGGACTTACAGTGGACTTAAATCAATAGCCTGCCATGTGGTTTGATAACATCGGGACTGTGCCTTTTTGTCAACCTTGGGGCTTCTCAGCCTCAGCAGCCAGCAGCTGTTTGAGTAAAGAAATGCCTGTAGCTCCAGTGGGCCGGGAGCAGGAGGCAGAGCTGGACTCCAAGGTTGAGGCGTTTTCACCTAGCCCCTAGAGCCTGGCACTTTGAACTTAGACTTAAAGCCTCCAAATTGTAAGAATAATTCCTGTTTGTTTAAGGCCATCCCATTTGTGGTATATTTCTCATCAGAGCGACACTAGGTAACCAGAATAGTCACCACTAAGGATGCATTCCTTCAGCCAAGGACTATCCCAAACATTTATAATTTTCTTTGCCCCTATTTCCCTGAGATAGGAGCTCTGGTAGCATAGTGCCTAAGGCACTTGACTGCTAACCAGAAGGCTGGTGGTTCAAACCCACCAGCCACTCCTCGGAAGGTAGACTGGGCAATCTACTTCCATAGTAATACTGCTTTGGCAACCCGAGGAGGGGTCGCTATGAGTCGGGGCCAACTCGATGGCACCTAACAACAACAACATTTTCCTGAGAATTTTGATCAGGAAGAACTTTTGGAACACTGCAGATTATTCTATAGCACAGATACCAAGTCTGTGGTTAGTCCAACCTGTACCTCAGTGCCCTGGGAAGACCCCAACTATTGCAGCACCAATTTCATAGAGCACATCCAGAGCTGGCACCAGTTTTCTTATGACTCTTTTGTGGATTACCATGCTGATGAAGAGGACATGAAGAATCAAGTGTTGCAGCCCTCCATCATGGACCAGTGAGCAGTCTCTGCTGTGCATTTCCTGTCCCAGAGCTCCCACGTGAAACATCTTCAATGTACAAGAGACTTGGAAGTAAGCCATGGCATTAAAGACAGGGCCCTTCTGACAGGGAAAATAGGGGCCCAGGTCAGAGGCCCCTTTTTCTCTTAGACTCTTACCAAAGTTGTCTCCTCTTCCTGTTAACCTTGTTTGTCATAGGCTCTAGTCTTACATTAATCCTCAGCTACTTCCTGGAGCTTCTGCCTCCTCTTCTGGAAGAGAATCCAGCTTCCCCACCTCCACCTGCTCTTGTTTCACACTTGTTCCTCTAGGCCAGTGTTCATCTTTCAGGTCCTCCAAGCCAGCCAGGACCTTTTCTGGGTCACAACTAGCACAAATGAGACAAGTGTCTCCTTGTCCCTGCAGGATGTGAGCTCTGGCAACAGTGCATCTGGGCAGTGATGAAGTGCCTGGTGTGCTGTTAGCTGTCATTGGCAGCTGCTGCCAGAACCTGGAAGCCCTGTTGGATTTTATGCTGGAAGGTTCCATTAGTGGTATTTTCCTCCTCCTTCACACACCCTTAGTATTAACTGGTTCAAGCTTAAATGCCTGCATGGTGCCTTTTTAGGATAAGGGGTAACCATATATTTTTAGTGAAAGTGTTTTCTAGGTTAGGAAAGTTAAAACCCATATATCCATAAATGGGGAGAAGGGTAAGCTAAGAGAAGTAAAAGGGTCATAGCTTTTTGGTTTTGATTTTCAAGTGAATGAGCTTTTTTTCCTATGACAGTGTCAGGCTTACCTCTTTATCTGGGGACTTGCTTACAGTCTTGTCTTTGAAACACGAAAAGGAATGCTGAATAAGAAGGAACTGATGGGAGGCTCCAGTAGATCCTGGCTCTTTATCTTTTTATTTGGTGACTTAGTTTAGACTGAGCATTCTTTTTCTATCACTGGTGGTTTCCTTGTGAAACTGGTTTCAGCATGGGTGTGTGAAAACCCTCCATCCAAATGCAGAGACAGGTTTGAGGCAATCTGATAGCACACACCATTGCCTCTGGTGACAAGACAGACTGTTCTTAAAGGAGTCACATCTCTTCATGAGCAGTTTTTGATAAAAGCTGCTACTAGAAATTTGGCTTTCTTAATAGATCAAGAAGGCCTAAGTTCAAGATAGGTCATGAATAGTAATAAATAAAAGTATAAAATGTTTGTCGATTTACTCTGTAGGAGCAGAACTTCTGATCAACAACAAGGCACATGAAATAGGTCTATTTTTTCATGTGAAACATCTCAAGTCTGAATGTGGTGATGCTTTTGGCCTGTGTTCCACTGCTGTGGGCCTCCTATCTCTCCACTGGCCATGGAAGAACTGCAGGTACCCGGCAGCCAGCCAATACTGGGCCGTTTGAGGCAATATCTTTCTAACACACTGTTGCTTGGAAGGGTCCCACTATTAAAGTCAGCTTCCTCACTGTAATTTCTGGAGAACGCTTGCTCAGACCTCCCTGGGTTTAGAGGATCTAGAGGGGATTGGACAGAACCTTTGTGGGAGGGACCTGAGGCAAGCACATCCCTCTAGCTGGTGGTTCAGAGAAACTAATTTTTTTGTATTGAGTGCACTTCATGTATTTCTGATAAGATGACTTCCAGAAAGTGAAATTTGTTATGTTTTGGCTTAAAAGGCAAAATAGAAATAAATTTCATAATATGTGGGAAAAAAATGGATCCTTAACTCATTGCTTACTGCTTAATACTAATTCCTGATGGTATAATGTTTAAAATGTGCTTAAAAAAATTAAAATACTATAAAAAATATAAGAAGACCCATTAACATGGTGCTCAATGTTGTTACAAGATTGTTGATCATTTGACATGAAAGTATATTCATTAATAGATTCATAGTTAATTAATAATTCATAATTAAATGATTAGTAGCACATAACAACAGCAATACAGGTAAACAGATATAAATAAAACCCAAAAACCAAACACACTGCCATTGAGTCGGACCTGACTCATAGCGACCCCTCCTTGGGTTTCCAAGGCAGTATCACTACGGAAGTAGATTGCCCAACCTTCCTTCCGAGGAGTGGCTGGTGGGTTTGAACATCCAGCCTTCTGGTTAGCAGTCAAGTGCCTTAGGCACTATGTTACCAGAGCTCCTATTTTCTCCATTAGTATGTCAAATTGCCTCTATGGATTGTTTTTTGTTCGTTTCCGTAGGAATATCAAGACATCTTCCAATTCAGCTTTTAAAAGACTATATCCTGTGGATTTTTATTGAACTACAAATGGGTAATTCTTGTCATTCATAAGAATCGGCTAAATATGTTGCTTACCTTTCAATGAAAAGTAAACACTGGTCTTTTTAGTTGTACAAAGGGAGGCGTTCTGTAGCAGAAAATAATCCTGTAAATAGAAATAAGAGATACCTACTTTTAAACTTCATTTTGCAAGTTTATTCAAATATTACTGGACATGCAAATTATAATTTAGATGGCTAGAATTTTACAGGGTTAGAAGGAAATTGGTGGCAGATGATACTGTAAAGTATATGCTGACAGAAGATGTGCATTCATTAGCACAAACACCCTCTCCCATCCTGCTGTTCATGGAATTCAAACCCACTGCACAAAAGTATAAAGCAAACCTTTTGGTTTTTAATAGCACTACTGGACATTTCAATACTGCTTTCTTTTATCTCCAAGATTCTCGCAAGGTTTGAGAAAGGCTTGTAGCAAGTTAGCAGCAAGGTTGAGGTATTTTATGTGCAAGTTTAAAACAAAAAAAATGCATAGTGAAAATGGTTTAACCGACTCACGACATCATGGGTTCACAAACCTTGTAGCTGGATATAAACCAGGCTTGCCAAACATCTCAGCGCTTATTAAAACTGCTACA